TTATTCATAGGTGCATCACTAGCTAGGCCAGCCTTTATTTCCCACCACAAATTGTCCTTGAAAAGATGGTAGTGAGGTGCTTTCTTGAACTGCTGCAGTGCCTGGAATGTAAGGAAACCCCCAGGGCCATTTACGAGGGAGGTGCAGGAGTTTGACCTTGTGACTGAAAAGGAACTGCAATATAATTCCAAGTCAGGGTCATGTGTGGCTTGGAGGGGGAATTGAGGGTAATGGTGCTGCAGTACATCTGCCCCTGTCCTTCTCAGTGGTAGAGGTCAGGAGTTTTGGAGTTGCTGTCGAATGAAAAATGTTAACGTAGCCAAATTAAGAATCGCATCGTGTTAGTTTTATTAGCCAATATATTTAAAAATTCAGTTTCTCTTTCCTAGATATACCAATACGAGTAATTGGAATCTTACCACAAAAAAATGAACGAAACGTGCTTTGGAAACACATTTATGCTCTGTTTGAGCGGATTTCGGTATTTCAACTTGGAAGAATAGAAATGAACGTATTAATGAGTGAGAAAGAATACACGGTATGTTAAGTCCTGTCTTTTCAATATGCTTGAAATTTTTCTGTGACTTTTGCTTTTGAATTCAGTTGTTGAATTTGAGAATTTTATCTTCTATGTAGAAGCTGACGGCAGAGGCAGGAAACCTGAAACACTATCAGGCATTAAGTGCTCTGTACCAGGTGGCATGTGAAATACAGTTGTTACACAAGGTGAGAATTTGTTTCCCTTTTTAATGCTACAATTGTAAATTGTAGCTTATGGTGCTATATGTGCATCCTCATTTTGATCATCTTTTTTAAATGTAGGCAATGTTTGTACTATCAGCGATGATCATGTGTAGCACAAATCACATCACTGTGTCAGATGTTATAATTACAGCCTGAACTACATTCTGGCCTTAGTGAGATTTGAATACTTTTTCTTAGTATAATTCAAGGGATGTGGGCTCTGCTGGCTGGGCCAGTATTTATTGCCATCCCTAATTGCCATGGAGGTGTGCTGAGGTGCTTTCTGAATCACTGGTTCATTTGGTGGAGGTACACTGATGATCTTATCACACAAGAACTAGGAGCAAGAATAAGCAATTCAGCTGCTCCAGCTTGATACGACTGTGGCTGATTTCACCTTGGCCTTGACTTCACTTTTGTGCATGCTCCCTGTAACCCTTTAACCCATTACCAAGTAAAAATGTGTTTGCCTCCTCCTCAAATTTATTCCATGTCCTGGCATCCACCATACTCTGGGGTAGTGCATTCCACAGATTCATAATCCTTTGAGAGAAGTAATTTCTCCTCATCTCTGTTGCAAATCTGCTACCCCTTAACCTAAAGCTACGACCTCTTGTTCTAGATATAGAAACATTCTTTCTACGTCTACTTTGAAAATCCCCTTCAACATTTTAAAACCTCAATTTGATCTCTCTCTTCTAATTTCCAGTGAGTATAGATCTAAACTGCTCAATCTTTCTTCATAAGACAAACCTCTCATCTCTGAAATCAATCTAGCGTACCTCTTCTGAACTGCTTTCAACGTATCTCCATCCCCCTTCAAATAAGGGGACCAAAATTGAATGCAGTACTCCAGATGCAGTCTCACTAATGCCTTATACAGTTGAAGCACCACTTCTTGATTTCTTTATTCTATTCTTTTAGCATTAAATGCAAAGATTTGTTTGCCTTCCTTTACATCCTGTATACAAGCTTCCTGCAATTCATGCATGTGGACACCAGATCCCTCTGCACCAAAGCACTCTGAAGTTTGTCTATTTAGACGATAAATTGACTTTCCATTCCTCCAAATAAAATGAATAACCTCGCACATATCCACGTTAAACTTCATCTGCCAAACCTTGGCCCATTCACCTGACCTATCCATTTGTAAATTTCTTATTTCTTCTTTGCAACTTGCTTTCCCACTGTTTTCGTGTCATCTGCAAATTTGACTATACTACATTCATCTCTGCATCCAAGTCATTCATACAGATGGATAATTACTGGATAAGTCAAATCTCAGGCTGAAATCTGGCATAGTACATCATTGACCTTTTTTTTTGTTTTCATGAAGTGGTCTCTCACTGAAACATAAGCACTCTGCTGGAGATTTTGGTTTTAACAATTTTAAAAAATGTTTATTATGGAAATGAGATTTAGATGAAATAGAATAAACCAAACTATTTGCATATAACAAAATATAAAGATTTTTTATGAAGGAAAAATATAGTCCCATTTTAAAAACTCATTTCCAGATCACAAGAGCATTTTTACAGAATTCACACTTGAGAGAAGCTCCTTCTTTATATCCTCTCTATTGGCTTAATTGGACTGTAACTTTAACTCCCAATCTCTAGAGTCTGATGGCCTTTTCCTGAGGCCTTCAAATGCCCAAGTTTGAAATTTATTGGCTTCAAATAATCCCTTCACGGTTTTACCCAAATACTTTTGGTCAGGAACTATTTCTTTTCACTTTGAAGTAATGTTTTTTGTTAAACGGTGACTATAACAAAATTTAGTCTTCCGTTTGCAAGTGAGAAACTTGTGTTGGAATAAGGCTAATTGCAAAACAATGAGGGCAGAACTAGTTGAAGTGGACTAGGAAAGGAGTTTAGTTACAGACATTTGAGGAACAATGATATACACATCTAAGAAAATAGTTAGATTTGCAGCAAAGGTGTATCTCCCAGTGTGAAAGAAGGATTCGAGGAAAGAGATAAGCCAACCATGGTTAACCAGGGAAGTTAAGGATAGCATCAAACTCAAAGAAAAAAAAATACAACCTCTCAAAGATTAGCAGTAAATAGAGAATTGGGCAAGTTTTAAAAAGCAACAAAAGGTGACCAAAAAAGATCAAGAGGGACAAAATGAACTGAGTGTAAACTTGCAAGTTTTTTTTGTTTGTTCACAGGATGTGGACGTCACTGGCTAAGTCAGCACTTATTGCTCATTCCTAATTGCCCAAAGGGCGGTTAAAGGTCAGACCAATTGTTATGTGTCTGAGGTCACATGTAGGCCAGACCCAGGCAAAGACAGCAGATTGCCTTTCCTTAAAAAGGACATTAGTGAATCAGATTTGTGGGAGAGTCTAGGACCGGAGTGTGTTATCCCAGATTAAGCAGTTGCCCACTTAGGACAGAAATGAGGAGGATTTCTTCTCTTGCTGTAGTGAGTCTGTAGAATTCTTTACCACAGATGGGTATAGAGGCTGGGTCATTGAATATCTTCAAAGCCGGGATAGACAGATTTTAAATCGGCAAGGATTATGGGACAAGGCAAGAAAGTGGAGTTGAGCATTATCAGATCAGTTTTCATCTCAAGGAGCCATATGGCCTGCTTCTGCTTGTGTGCTTTGTAGTCTAAACTGTTCTCTGTTTCTGAAGCACAGCTGCTCTACAGATCTGCCTTAAGCTAAGAAGCCTGCAGAACTGACACAACTAATGCTAAAACCATTTTTTCCAAGTTATCGGTATTTTCCCCCTAAGCTTTACACAAAAAGCCCAGAATTTTGTATCACAACACCCACAGTGCTTTTAGAGAAAGTTCCAGGATTTAGACTGACCAATAGTGAAAGAAGAGCATTCCATGATGGGATGGTGAGTTTGTTGGAGAAGAACTTGGTGGTGGTGTTTCCATGTATCACCTACCTTTTCCCTTTCAAATGGTAGTAGCAATGGGTTTGTAAGATTTTGGGACTGAATTGCCATTGTTGTTTATCAGGACATGCCTGGAAGAGATGTGGCAGTGAGTTAAACACCAACTCTGAGGAAGGGTCACCGGACCTGAAACATTAACTGTGTTGTTTCCTTCACAGGTGTTGCGAGACCTGCTGAGCTTTTCCAGCAACTTTGTTTTTGTTCCTGGTTTACAGCATCTGCAGTGCTTTCGGTTTTTGCCATTGTTGTTTCTTGTGCCTGTTTCAGTGCCAGGGTGGTCTGTCCAATTTCATTCTTTACAGGGTTACTAGCAGTTCGAAACAACTGAGTGGTTTGGTGGGCCTTTTTAGAGGACATTTTAAGAGTCAAACTCATTGCTGTGGGTCCGGAGTCATAGGTCAGCCAGACCAAGTAGGGACAGCAAATTTCTTTCCTAAAGATATTAGTGAGCCAGATGGTTATTGGCAGCAATTAAGTGTTTTCAGGTCGTCAATGGACATTTAAGTCCTGCTATTTTGAATTTATGTTCCACCAACTTGGAGAGCACTACTTGAATCCGGGGGTTAACAGTCCAGCATCAAGGATAACAAGGTGTAGAGCTGGATGAACACAGCAGGCAAGCAGCATCAGAGGAGCAGGAAGGCTGACGTTTCGGGCCTAGACCCTTCTTCAGAAATGGGGGAGGGGAAGGGGTTTCTGAAATAAATAGGGAGAGAGGGGGAGGCGGATAGAAGATGGATAGAGGAGAAGATAGGTGAAGAGGAGACAGACAGGTCAAAGAGGCAGGGATGGAGCCAGTAAAGGTGAGTGTAGGTGGGGAGGTAGGGAGGAGATAGGTCAGTCCAGGGAGGACGGACAGGTCAAGGGGGCGGGATGAGATTAGTAAGTAGGAGATAGGGGTGGGGCTTGAGGTGGAAGGAGGGGATAGGTGGGAGGAAGGACAAGTTAGGGAGGCGGGGATGAACTGGGCTGGTTTTGGGATGCGGTAGGGGGAGGGGAGATGTTGAAGTCCAGCATCAAGTCCATTTTGTCACCACCTTTTTCAGTCATCACGAATACATTGTGGACTAAAATTATGCTTGTGCAGCATTGTATCCTACTTCATGTGGACTTCCAATATTAGTCACCAGTCTGCTATTCAAGGTTCTCAGCTAAAAGCAAGTTGGCATGAATTGCACTGGAATTGTATAAAACAGATCATTCTACATTTGTAGCTATTTAAAGTATAAATACAAAATTTGAGTTGTCTTGCTGTTGAAATGATAGACGAGTTCAAGAAGTCCATTCAGCTTTATAAAGCTGAAATATTACTCAGTGTGCAGTCTTTGTCCTCCAGAGTAACTTGTTTTTAATATCCATTTGTCTATTCTGCCTATCTGCCTACCCCTCCTTCTGAAAGTATTTATTAATTCTCCATTTGCACAGAGCTAAGAACTCCTCTCTGGTTCTTGCTCTATTTGAACACTGCTGAGAGGTCAGTGCTGTGCTAAGTCAGCTGTAAATTTTAAGATCAGTATATATGCCTTCATTCAGTATTTGGGCAAATAACATTGCTGTGGCAGTTGATGCTACAGGGAAACAACTGATAGAGGAGGCTCATTCAAGTCCTTGGTTTACACTGAAGTCATTGTTACAATGTGCAAGTAAACTTAATGTTGTAAACCTGTCTTGTGCCCACTGTGTGAACATTGACAGAATTGAGGGAGTAATTTGTAATTTCAGGAATGGAGATGAAGTGACCCTTTTATAAGGATAAGAAATATTGGAACTTAAGGCTATAGGATGTTTCAGTTTATCTGCAGATGAACAAATGTGTATGTGTAGTTTCTAACACTAGATGGTGAACCTGTTCAGTTCAGTTCAGCTCAGCTGAGCAGACATCCTTTGATAGTTGTACAATTCAAGGACATGTTGAAAATATCCATATTAGTTTATTGATCTGGTACTGATAGCTATCACCTGCTAACTTATTTAGTCATAAACTTAAAGTTGACTTCTGAGTCAGAAGCATATGGCTAGAAAAATTTCCCTACGGTTTAAGCATATATTCTTGGCTAATATTCT